GATCCAAGTAGTGCGGAGTCATTGATGTACTAAACGTATTTGAGCAAACGCCTCAAACGCCTCGAGGTGCCCGAAGTCAGCTGGGTTATACTAAAGCAGCACATCTCTTAAAAAGTCAAAGAGGAAGAACAACCTTGCTTGGAACCAGCGGATGTAAACTTGGGATAATATTCTCCGCTGGAACGCTAACGTCTAAGGGATGGAGCATATAGAGTCCTTACAAAAGACTAGATTTTGTAATGAATGCACGTTGCTGCTGGAAGCTGCCACAGATTATGACAATGAGCGGGGTCAAAAGCAGAGCTGAAGTCGAGAAAGCGAGTTTTTTGGAAATAGAGATGTAGTTTCAGCACTTTTTGCAAAGTAGAGGTATAATTGTTGCAGCCCTAACAAGGGTTAGTTCAGCTAGACTCCGGCAAGCCTAACTGCTCTAACGATGGATTAGGCTGAGAAGTTAACAAAAAAGAGCACCTTTGGAGAAATAGCCACTAGGACGATGCTTTAGCTGCTTGCGTATGCCGTTTTTACACCCTTCTGGAAAGTGAAAATGGCTGCCAAGACGCTCGAATCTGCCGGTATCCATTTCTTGCTTAAGAAGTGTTAAATTGGGCGCATCGTGTTAGCTAGCAACAACTCAACATCTTTTTGATAAATGTGGCATGCAAATAGTCTAGATAAAATGCTTTGTTGAGATAAAGCAATGAAGTAGCGCGGTGGGCTTTCGTCGTCAGTGACAAAATGGTATGGACATTCCACTCGAGTTCATCTGGTGGTTCCAGAAGTTGAGGCTAGTCTAAAATTCCTTCATTTTCCGCAAATGAACTCGAAATATTTACTGGGGTAGCTCAACTAACACCTGCCTATTACAGAATGTTTGATTGGATTAGCCCGAACAAAGTTCGGCTGTTTCTAGCTGCAAAACCCTTCTCAATGTCCTAGGCGCTTTGGACTCACCAGCGCCCTCTTAGGCTCATTATTAATAGGCGATTTCGGAGTTATAGTCACTGGTTTAGTCATTAATTGCTGGTAGTGTTTTCCTAAATTCTGGATAGCTGCTCATCGTAATAAAATCCACTGTTTATACGAATGTGCGAGAAACATCTAGCAGACGGTTTCCAAAGCTGTAAGCATTGTCTACTTCATCCTTCTTGAGCCGTCATCCAAACCGTCATCGTGCTTGTCGAGCTCTGAAGACTAAAAAGGAGCCCTGGACCTATTAAGATAATGTGCGAATTATCTATCGGTGGAGGTCCTTGATATGAGGTTGTTGTTCGCTTTGGAATAAGCCACTTGGTACTGATCAAGGCTTTGCCTGTGAACGAGTGTCTGTTTGTCCCATAATTAAGACAAGCAGGGGATTTTTCACTTGCAGGACATCTCCATAGCCCAATACTATCTAGTTAAGTTGACTCAGAAGCTTAACTGTACGTAAAGTTGATAATGGTGGTTTTGCGAGGGGATGAAAAGCGGCTGAAGTAAAGGCAACATACCCTTAAAAGACGAGAATGATTGTGCGACTCTTTTTCTGTTATTGAGAATCATCGGCGGTGCACACCCCACCTAAATTCAGAGAGTCTTCAACCTGTAAGTTTCTGGCTGGTAGTTTAAACGCTTAGCGGTTCGGTTACGACAGGCTAACCAACAGTGATGGGCTTACGCCTAGAGAGGATTTGGCACCGTTACTCTTTCGATAATCGGATCCAAATTATGTGGTCGTACGTGTTGTCTGGCTGTCTGAGCAGTAACTTTCTCAATTGTAAATTTCACTTATCTGGTGAGTTTTTTCTCCCCAAGAGTTACTTGTAGACTGATCTTAGCGTGACGTGGTTTGGAAAGTTTATTGGGGATTTTTCCTATAATCTTAGCAATCTACGAAAGTCACTTACATATCACTTATGGAGCGAAATGTACGTTAAAATTACCAAACCCCCCATACTCTCAACATGGGTTAAAGAAACGTGCTGAGAAATTTTGGAGCCGTCTGCTTAAGGTCGCCCGAGAATCCCATGGAACACCAAATCATGTCACAATCGCAGCCGCTTTTGATGCTGGGAAAACAATGTCGGCAAGAAAGAATTATGATTGTGTACACAAACTGCTCAGACGTCGAATACAGAAAGGTTAAGAACTGATAAAATGTGTCAAGAGATATCAGAAGGCCGAGAAATTGAGAAAGTTCTATTACGGGGAAAAGCCACACTATTCTAATTATTTCAGTCAGCTAATACGAAAAGAAGGACTTTTGACCCTGAACAATGGGATGATCACTCCGAGGAAGTGTTCAGATGACAAATATTGACAACCAACCAAACAGCCGTATGAATCCGAAGGGAGATTTTGCACTAGCAGGCAACTGACTAATGAAGTCTAGTTTCGTTGCTCCAGGACGGTTTCGTTCATCATTTTGCAAAGGAGTTGATAATTTCAATATGACTAATCTGGCAACTTCATTCTGAACTATATGGATTAAAGACGACGTCGACAGAACAACACACTTCGAAAATGATTTGAAGAGATTGTAACAACGTCGCGAAGTAATCACAGAGGAGTCATTCTACCTAATGTAGCCTCCAATATACTCTCTGATTTTATCCTATACAGGTTTTTTATTCAATAAAATAACCAAGCTCTCAAGAAACAAACTGGTTTTCGCCGTGGTCCGGGTTGTGTTTATTATAAATTCAGTTTGCGATAAATTCCGCAATTGCGCAACTGCACCTTGCAACCAACTGTGATCTTCTATCATGATTTCAGATCCTTAATTTACTCAGTTGTTCGCCGGAAACTCAGGAACTGTCTATGGTTCAGTGATGCCCCTGATAAATTTTTGGCCTGTTTTAGCGGTTCTGTTTACTACCTGCCGTGGACGCATAAGTGTGTACAGCAAATACACTCTAGACTTTACCACATACAGTCATCATTATTATCAACATTGTCAGCAATACACCAGTAATACATCCTGGTTCTTAAATGCTAAACCACCACCTTAATTTCATTACTGTCACGTCCTGTAGTTTCATATGGGGGTGACATTGTCAGCATCCCTAACCAACTTCATAATCGATGATCCGCCTGAGTTTTATTTACTGGTCTATGAGATCTGGGTTTGTTGAACTCTGTGTTTCTTTCACAGGACTTGAATAAGACGATAATGTTGCTTTTCTTGAGCCCATCCTTAAGCAATAAAGACCATATCAGATAACTTAAATTTTGCTGTGCGATCAGGTATGAGCTTTTTTCCCGAAATCACTAGAGGTTACCGCAATACTAAGTAGGACCAGATCCATGGCTTATGCTAGCAGATGAATCGATAGATGTGGTAAGTCAGTTAGTAAAATTGAGCAGCTACATAGGCTCACTTGTACTGGCCAAGAATGGAATCGCTCACCCAATTGGGAAGGTCAGACAGCGTTTGCCAATTTAAGAACTTTTCTGGTGCCAACATGACATTGGTTTGGTGCTTGAGCATAAACTGCTTGATGCTGTGATCCGCCTGTTGCACTTTATGGGGCGGAGACCCTAGTGCGTGCAGATCTTCAACGACTCTGTGTTTGGCCATCGGTGTTTGAATCACTGAGTAGACTTCGTAGGGACATCAGGACAGTAATGCTAAGGTCCACCATGCGGGTTTTAGGAGGGGAAGATATTTTTTTAATAGACTACGGTGGCTATTGGGTGTACTACGTATACTCAAATACCATTTACCTCCTAAAGCTCTTTTCATTGTGCTATAGACTGGATCGAGACTATGTGTAAGCGATTAGTTAAATATTTGACAATGAAGCATTTAGACTATTACAGGAAACTTAATTGAAGTGTCATCTGGCGTCTCTCCAAATAAGAACCACGAGATAGGACAAAGTAACTATCATTAACCCTTTTGCCCTATCCAGGCAGCCCATTGTTTCTTTGCATCAGATATACGTGCCTCACCCTGTAGTCCACATCTTCTGCCATGCTGGACCTTATGACGTTTGTGAACTGGCTGAGTCCTCTCCTTCAGTCTGTCTAGCATGTCATTGCATTTCTACAATAAGTACCAATGTATCCACGGCAAACGTAATTCGAAAAGGTATAATTCCAAATGGGTTCCACACTGAATTGTGGTCTCTACAGAATGGAATGTTCAGAGCTTAAGACAAGCAATTTTTCCATTGCGGTGATTCCATCCAAGATATACTGACATGTTTTTTTATAAGTTAGTCGGCAGCTGTGCCCAAATTCTATCTTGAACGTCTTGATATGAACACAAAATTCCTATGGAAACAACAGAAGACAATATAACCCTATTTAGTAACGCTGACATGCAGTTAAAAATTCATAGCACACCCAGAGAAGTGAGTTCACTTTTTTAGTCGCATAGACAACATTCGGTTTCACAGGGAATAGCTCGGTACACAGGGACATCACGCCCTTTTGTATTTGAGGTTTGTTACATCGCATCCTACTTGGTGACGAAATCGACCATTTGCAATCACAAACGTGGCGTGAACGCTGATACAACAAGGTGCAAAACGGGGGTATCTGACGGCAAACTCGTCCTCATCTTTAATCCCGTTTTTAATAGCAAAATTCCAAAAACCAACCACCACGGCACATACAGGGGCTGGTTGACAGGATGATATCCGGACTTTGCAGCACCAGCTGCACCGGACATTCGGACTGCTCTGGGTTAGCGTTAATGTTTTATCATTTAACGGGGTTCATTCTTTATCTATTAGACGAACGTCTACAGAAATTTCGATACAGAACACTGGCTATGCGAGTCGAAGGGAACGGTGACGACGTCACTGTTTAAAGGTTAATTCCAATGATCGAGCTAAATATATGTACCTCAGCACTACAGTCGTTGTCTTCATCCTCAAAGACCGGAATACTCATATTTCTAGCACACAACAAATTTCGGCTGTAGCTGGAGAATCAGATGTGGAAAACTGAGTCAGTTTGTAGGGCCCGGAAGAATAACTCGGTTATGCTTGAGTATTTTTCCTTTCCTTCAGCCTGAGAATGGATCATGTCACTGAGAACAATTGTCACAGTCCTTATGTTTTTGACTGCGAAGAAAAGCAAGCTGACTGCAAACACAGATTGATTACTGATATCCCGATTCCTGATGCAAATGACCCTGATGTTTTTGAGCCTGACTGTGATCTTCATAATCCTGTTGCTGTTACCTATCGAGATGTCTCTGCAGCTTATTATCGAATTCGCGATGGAATCATTCGGACACCCTGCAAGGTGCGTTCTTCTCCAATTTGCTGACATCGCAGAAATCACAACTTTCCAAAATATACAATATGAATATATTCTTGAAACTAGAGCTTCAGCAAGTTACGGGAAGGTGAGCGTTAAAGATATGCAAAATGAATCGCTTTTAGTTTCAAAGAACGAGGAGCACGCAATTTCTTACTTCAACTGACTCCGGTAAGTTCATCATTTCATGAAATGAGCACAAAACTAGGTGAAACAGAAAGTTTTGAAAGGGGCTGGCAGGTTTGATTTTTAATTCACACTGAAATTTCGGGCAGTTACAGTCATTTATCCTGATAGTTCGGCTCATCACGTCACATTCCACGTTTATAAACCGCTACTAGTATTAGCTAAATTCAGCATGTTGAGTACTGCCGACATTTCGGCTAACTGGGATCACCAATTTATTTCTGCACAATTCCTGAGAAAAATGCGAAGGTCCTACGAAAGATCTAGTTTATCCACCATTTTCTCAAGCCACCACGAATTATGTCAGCCACCCAAGTCCACAGCTAGTATGCACTACACAAAAGTACAAGGCCGTTCTGTTTTTGGAACTCGATGTGTGCTGTTTGGTCTAGAGAGTAAAACGTTGTAGTTTACATGACATAACACGGTAACATTAGCAGGTTGGATACTAGTCTTACCACCTTTCAAAAACCAGAAGGTTGGCCTCGAGATTACCAAAAGTGACACTTTATTTTCAACCCCAAATAGACTATCGGCTGTTGGGAAATCAGTAGTTTCAGCCTGAGGTAAACATACTTAATCAAAAATAGATTGGGAATCAGATGGATTGATTTTATTTTAGAAAAGCGCATCTACATCTATTGCTTCATCTCTGTGTCCACTTAACAACAGTGTAGCAAAAGTGTGTGTCTATTTAAGGCTCTGTAGTAGTCCCTCACGACACAGGACGAAACATGATCAATCTCAGAGTAGTTATTTGGATACACCCAGTGATTTGGATCCATTCTTTTGTACAGCGCACCGTTCTTTGTCTTCTTCTGGCGTGGACGTGACATTGGGGCGTTTGCATTTGATCTGCTGCATTTTAATACTCTAAGGGCGAATGACTGATAAAGTTGTTTTATTCGTAAGTTTCCTCAAGGATCAGAACAACTTACCATTTTCTAGTGGGCCCTACGTAATATTCCCAGTACGCCTATACTTATCATAATACGCACAAGTTATTTTGGACACATTCGTATTTATTTTGTGGTTAGGGTATACCTGAATGGCAGTATCTCTAACCAATTTGCCGGGGTCTTCCGGGCCTTGTGATGCCCTTGCCCGTTGTCGCCACAAGCTTGCATTTTGTTGGCAATACCTGAACTCCTTTTCAGAGCAACAGAAGATTTATGCACTAGTGTCGTGTTTTGTTGTGAATGAAGAATGACTTGACTGATGTGTTTTTTATGACTCAGGTGGGTGTCATTGCTTAGACTGAACCAAGTATGACTAAAATGGTACATTCCGTCCAGATTAAGCAACGGACGTAAGTGGTTATTCCACAGTGTAAAGACATTCCATTGCTATGTGCTCACGGCACCACAACTCACCGTCATCTTCCGAGTGGTCCTCCTCATTGAAGTCAGCTACGTTAACCTCATCATCAACATCAAAAACATTACTATCACCATCATCACCTCCCTTATCATTGCCGTCATCTTCCTGATTATCTTCCTCATCACTGTTGGCAGCAGCATCACTGTGGAAACAGCACTGCATGACTACTGTACAACTTTGCTAATTTTCAAATCGATTATCTTATGATAGAGATCAAAAGGAGGATGAGAAATAGGGTTTTTGTTACTCAACCACAATCTCTCAGCCATCTGTACCGTCAGGCGTTCACTCGGAAAACATAGATAGAAATTGACAGCGCAAACACTGGTTACATCGGCCAGTGGCCATGTGTCACAGCTTCTTCAAGAAAGAGTTCCGTGCACATTGGTCTAAAAGATAGGTGGCATCGAAAGCACCAAGACCTGTCCAAAACTTCCGTCATGCTGCGTACTCACCTTCCCTTGGTTTGTGTCCTACACGTTTGCCACTTACGTATGGTTCCGTTTTGAGGGACGATAAGTGGGCATGCGTAGCAAGTGATCGAGCCATTCCACCTTGTAGTGGTGTGTGAATTCCAGAGGTGGAGTGTTTTGTGCCTCATCGAATTCCAATTTCTCGATAACTCTGTTGCGAATTCTCTGGCGGTAACATGTTCCAGACATTGCTATGAGAAGTTGGAGATCAAAGACCTAACGCAGTTTCCCTCCATGAAGACTAAGTTTCGCATGTGCCTCCGCATTTTCGAGGGTGGAAGAAATGCTGCGCGCATATTTGAGATTGATAAGAATCTCACATTATTTATTGTTTCAGGGTTCCTATAGCGTCGGATCTATTATTACGCCAAGTACAAAGAGGAGAAGAGTGCACACTAACGCCAGAAGTCAATATTTCTAGGAGCTCCTTACACTCCCCTAAACACCCACAAGTCTGTGCATACAAAAAACACGAGGCTTAAATTCATAAGTGTTTTCAGATGAATAGACCCGTCAGACTGTGGTTATGCCGAGTTTTGCACCGTTCACTGTTTTGCGACCCGTATAAATGAATTAGGCGATGGCTGGGTCAATGTGATGTGTAGGAATTCAGCGGAGGTAATGTGATAACAGCACCCTTGAATACGCAAAGGTACTTGAACCTTCCTCATTGTGGATACTTTACGATTAAACATGTTTGGTTAATTTTCTGCCAAACAACAGTCATTATATAGTTGAAAGTACGGGTGAAAGGAAGGCCTTAGCTCTGAAGGTCCTATGGGAGAAACACTAACTGAACAGTTAAATACTATTGGACAGGGGAGCAAAATTCTCACATGCATCTTGTTCACAAAACTGAATATCTACCTTCTCCCTGAACGCGTCTCCCTGAACTTTCCTGGGTATTCGTTGACTGAGACTCAAATGCAAGCACATGATACAGAGCGACACAACAGATTCCGTAACAGATCGCACTTTCCAAGAGATGCGAAGAGGATTTACGAGAGAACATACTAATCGCATGCCTCATCAGTAGTATCTACCGTTGCACGGGTGGCTGACACTTTCACGGACACTTTTCGGATTTTCTTCAATTTCGCGTGGAGTATAATATCCTGCAACTTTGTTGTATTTACCGTCCAGCGTCCATTTCGTTTGGCATAAGGCACAGAGCGTTGGGCAATCACCATTCTGTCGAAATCATTCTAGCCAACGTGACCAGATGGAAAACCTGGAGGAGGAAAATGCAACCAGGATGCACAAGATTCCTAATTTGCAACACACTAGTTGTCAACACCACTTGTCTACATAGTTTGTTTGTATATTGAAATATTAACTTGATGGTTTTTCGTGTTACTATGTGATTAATAGCCCTCCATAACTATCCATACGGCCTGTGAAATTATATCTTCAAGAGACCATGACGTCACCTGTTCGATTACCTGTGGTTTCAAAATCCCCGAAATTGAAGTGAATAATTCCAGACTCGGCTGGTTACTGCATGCATCTAAATTAGTGTAAATAAGTGAACCAACAGTAGTGATATTAACTTACGTGCTATTAGTATACGAAGCGCTATTATGAGCAAAAGAGTTTTCGGTGACATCATATAATCAGTAGCTTTATTATGAATGAAAAGCACGTGTTAATCTGTATTGAACACTCGGGATCACGTTTTACGGTCATGTCTTTCATCTTGTCCAACGTGACTGACGTTCACCAATGTGCAGTACTTCCGAGAGTAACTGGTCAATGGATCATGAAAATTCATCAAATTTCAGCACGTGGAGGCAGGAATAAGGTAAAATATTGCTTTTTGAAGGCATCGGAAGCAGGACGGGAAGGACGACAACCAACCTAAATGTATTGAAAGCGGTGGACAGTGTCATGTTAATCGATTAACATACGGTTCGAAAAGGACGAAGCAGAATCAGCAGTATTTATTTGAAGAAGACTAGGAAGTCGGATACAACCACAAGTTCTTTACATCATACTCAAAGCCTTAAGGTGAGAAGAGACAAAAAAGAGTCAGTGAGTGGTGATATAAAGCTGGTTTGCTGCAAGCATATGAGGAAACTGACACAGGCAGCACTGTAGCGGCCTTCCTCGGCGATAAGGAAGGCACGTTTGGGGTTTTACAAAGAGAGTCCAGCTGCACCTGTCCTTATAAATACGAACAGAAGCGTACAATTTTTCTGATGTGTCCACGTGAGGATTCTGAGTTACCTCGATATCGCCAGGAATTTGCCCATAAACGATACTCTTCTTGACAGAAAAGATCAAGGGAATGTTGCGATCGACATTTTCGGCTGTTCAACGCTTGATTTTTTTTCAGTGCTGATTAATTTTGGAAGCATGACGACAGGTCTCATAGGTTGGGTGTTACATGACACTGATTCTGGGTTCCTTGTCGGTTGGATGGTGAGCAGTACATCTTCCTTTTGCACTATTTCAATGCAACTGGGATGTGACTAGCTGTAGAGTTGTACCACGCGATGCAACTCCTATAGGGATACTTTGATACCAACTGACCCTTTTGTGCAGTTAGCAAGTTTTTTCAGTTTCGTTGCATACTTTTCCTGTGAACGAATGATCTTATCCAACACATCCCTTTTCTGTTTGATCGGGATATCCCAAGGGTTTTCTGTGCATGTTTCATGCATTCTTAACACGACGCACTAACAGACATGACAGAGAACGGTACATCTCCAAGTCAGACAATCTAGAAAGAAAGTGAACGCAGAACGCCATTAACATCGATTAGTCGCCACTGCCTCCAACCAAGCACATGGGGGTAGATGGATCATATCCTGGAAGACGGATGACACCAACAGCACCGAAACTATTAGTGACCTCACACTTTTACCAGGTCTTCCGTCTCACAGTTTGCACCATTTTTAAAAAGGCGCGGATAACAGCAATCGTTTCAGCAGACGATGTTTCGGTATTCGTAGCACATGGCCGATCCACCGCAGTTGACGCTGTTGGATGTTCCCCGCGACTGAAGTACCCACCGCACAAACACCCGTTTTATCGGTACATCCTTACGAATTCCTATGTCTCATGCTACATCAGCAACGCTGAGGCACCGGTGGTTTAAAAATTCAAGACATTTCATATAATCTCTCCGCAGAGGCCATGTCTAGCAACCGTATAACAACAGTCTTAAGTGTATATCGATTTACCCCTCGTTTCGAACACATGGGAATGGTTTCCACTTTGAATAGAATCTTCCTGATATTGTGATAGGGTTCAAGGAGAAGTACATCAATTGAGTAAGAAAACTTGGTGAGTAAATGTTTAGTTTAGCGGTCCAGATGGCCTAGCTTGCTACTGGTAAAACTGGAGGAATTAATGTAGTTTTCAGTTGCGGAGTATATTACAATAGCTCTGTGGTGGGCATGGGGGAAATTTTAGGAAGAAGAAATACACTTAGCCGTGCTAGACAAAAATAGATGTCAGACTCATACTCCGTAGCACTGAAGAACTTCTTCGTTTCAGTCGTTTTTGGCGTTTCTGATGATAGCGTTTCCAAGCACACGGTCTATTCCTCAAAAGTAGTTGCACTATCCCGGAGTTTACCAGATTTGCCAACCATCAGTACGTACAGTTCGCCATAAACCTTCCGAAATTCCGGAAAAGGGGTGCATACAAAGCTATGGAAGGCAATAAGTACGGAGTTATAGTAAGAAGTGAATGAAGGCGTTTTACAAGATTGGATAAAACCTACCCCAGTACGGGATGTCGGGCTAGTAAAAAATAGATATTTCTAATTTCTTCTGAAGTGGTAATTTCCTAAATTATCGTTTATTCCTTAAGAGCATGGTCGCAGACATGAGAAGAGAATGAAAGCAATGAACGCAAAGGGGTTACGGGGGAATATGAGACGAAAGAGAGAAACGTCTCATTCTTAGTCATGCCATCAACAGTTCCAGTCAGATAAGATGAATCCAAAAGCGTGTAAGAGTTTTTGGTATGGAGGCACGTGTATAAAGACTAACAACCGAAGAAAGAACAAATTATACTGAATGCTCTTCAAGGCGTGGTGAGTGCTAGCACAGTCAATGCTCGCGCATCAGGCCCAAATTATCTGTCATAATGGGTCTTGTGTGAGACTAAATGGCAAAAATGTACACTGAACTCCATGTGTCACGCTTTGCTCGTACTACTGCTCCTCATCTGTACAGCGTTCTGTATGACATTTATACGAAATTGCTCATCTGCCTGCAAATTTTTCGTTGGATCTGGTTTTCGATGGACCCTTCAAATTTGAAAGCATCGACTTGAGAGGTGGTGAGTGACATAACAATGACGCGTGGTCTAAGGGAGATTGCTGCACAGAGTTCGAACAATGTCCATGTAACGCTTGTGTCAGAGAGAAAAGAAAAAACGACATAACTTTTAATTTTTGGTAAGTATTCTGAGTATCTGCTACAAACTTGTCCTTTTCAGGAACAGGCCAAGCGTGGAGTGATTGCATCAAGTGCAGGCAACCATGGACAGGCTTTAGCCTATCATGGAAAAAATCTGAACATCCCTGTTACAATCGTGATGCCGGTTTTCGCGCCCCTGATGAAAGTAGAAAACTGTCTCTCGCACGGAGCTAACGTTGTTTTGAAGGGAACCGATATGAGTCAGGTGAGTTTTCCATGATATCGATTTGCATTGGTTGCACCATTATCAAAGACCATTACGTTCTAGTCTCTTAGATATCCTAGAACTTTTCCGACACTGTGAGTCATGGTTCTCTTCTTTTCGTATAGTTGACTCAGCATCTCATAAGAACATTGTTATCGTTTTTAGACAAAACGCTGCCGACGTTTAATACTGCTAATTTTTCAAACAAGGGTATCTGCGGTCACACTCTGATTATCTAGTTATACTTCTGTTTATTTTAGACGAAATTCCACAACGAGAAGGTCCTGAAAGTAACAGTTCCGGAATGGTCAAATCAAATAAAAAAGTCTTCCAAAGTAAATAAACAGAAGTTCAGTATGATTGTCCCAGCATTCACTCACGGCCACACAAAGCACTTCAAAAACTTTGATTCCCAGCTACTGATCAATGACCCCATGTATCGGGTTTAGTTTTACCAAGAAAAAGGTTTAATAATATATGTCACGGCATGTTTCTTATTTTGATATAGTTGTTTCTCCAATTTTTATAGGCGAAACCATACGCCCTGAAGGTGGCGAAAGTAAACGACATCCGCTACGTTAATGGGTAAGCGCAGATTCTTTCACCGTTCTCTAGTATGGCTGTCTCAAGCAAATGGTATCATCGGTCACAATACACTTTTTCACATAGAAATCCACTGAACTGCAATTCAAACACTCTTATAAATTTATAGCTGAAATAACTCAAGATGTGACACAGTCTCAACTGCCCGTGAAAGCAATAGTCCTTGCAAAGTTATCACCAGGTTTGATAGAGTGGTCCAACGAAACCGCTGAAGTATACGTTTTCATTTAAGATTCCCGAAATGCTCTATAAATCCGATGTGATATAGCGAAAGTACCCCGTACCGCTCGATTTTGAACTGCTCACTTGGGAAAAGTTGATGGGGATTTGGTTGAGCCTAATGCTGAACTAAGCCGAGGGGTCTTAAGTGCGACCTTGACATGTGTGATGGCATTATCAACATCGAGGGCGTTAGAGAAGCGACACGCACCTTAATCTTTCAGTCCTGCAGCCACTAATTGAATATCATTGAGTATTCAATCCTGAGTGTTATTATGATGTGAAAACAGCAGTCCACCGTGAGATGTATCACACTTAGTGTTGTGCTGGTCACACGGCACAATAACGAGTTGTTTCGTTTGGTGATGAAATCATCCCGTTCCGCTGGATTTCTGGGGGATTTCCAGCAGCCCAACTTCAGTTGTGAAATATCTTGTCCTCTGGAACTTTGGATCCCATTCATGGCTCATCTTGGCCCAGAACTTGATTTGAAAGCCATCAAGATTTTCTATACTTTCAGTTCTTGTGCTGTGTGTGACACTTCATTTGGGACAAAAGGGGACATTCATTCGAACTGGCGGGGGTCAGTCGGAGATAGCTGAATTAACATTACACTGAGCACTTGCTTGTCTGGTTTTTGTATTCAGTTGGTAGTAAATGCAGCAAACACCACAGAATAAGTGTCACATCCCTGGTGTTTCAACTAAAACGTATCAGATGGTTTGGATTTCAAACAGTTGGTACGAGTGTGAACAACTGATGAACAAATTGATAAATCCGATCATCCCATCCAGGTTAATCAGCAGACTTGTGGTTACTCCTGGTTCCAGTTTTCTGTCAGTATCTTCTTAGCTTTATCAGTCATATATTTGTGCTTGATTTTCTTGGCACAATCTGCCAAGAAGCCCGTGGAAAAGACTCGCTCTGCCAATTGGCCAATTTGCACCTGGAAATATTTGCTTTTTGGAAACAGTTTTCACTCTCTGTGTTTAAACATGTTTTATCACAGCAGCTGTGACATCGACACGAAAGCAGCGGATTTCGGTTAGTTAGTGGGAGCCGTACGGTTGAAGGTTGAGGTGGTAGCATAATTGTGTAGCGGTCGTTTTTAAGATTTGTTGAGTTGTACGCCCTCCTGAAGCATTGTAAAAATTGAAATTTCGTTGTGAGATGCCATTTTTATTCCCCGGTTATCAAGAAATTCCCAGTGTTCTAGGTTTTGAGTTAGAAAAAGTCATGTCCAAAAGCGAAGAGGCCATGTAGCTTATTTGGCAGGTGAATGTGGTTCATTTACTATTAACGGCAAAAGTTCCTGCACATACGCTTTGAACACATGTGGGACGTGATGTCTAACGTTGAAGAGTAGCACAAAATGACATTTAATTTTGGCACCTTGATGACACTCTAAGTGGTTATGAAATCTGGAACATAATATTTCTATTACACTTTTATTTTCTGACAGTCCTTAGTAAAAGGTGGCTCTTGCAAAACGAACCCTCTCTCAAGGGCCACTGTCTCTGTATCCTCGAAAATGAACTGAAGCGAACTAAAATTGTTTTTTGGGGGGAATTAATTGAATCATTTGATATGATATTAATTGACCGAAGGTACTGGACAGATGTTGCCTCGTGTTTCATTTGGAACGACGTTTAGGATATCGTTTCCCCTGATGCGACACCAGTTACGATGTCTACGCATAAATTAAGATTGATGGCGATTCGGGGAGTAGAGTCTTCCGATGGAACTTTAAATAGACGAAACCGGTTAGTTGTTAAAAGATTTCCGTCACTGTCGTCAGTAACGTTATGTCGGAAGGCCTAGTTTTATTTTGCTTCCAAATAAGAGTGCCTTAGTTGGGAGCCTGAAAGTTAAAATGCATTATCTGCTTTATGCCAAAACAGCACTTTCTTCTCTTCGATTTACTCGACTATGCCACACAGTGAGAACAGTTGAATTTAAGTTGTTTTTAGACGTAATACACTACTCATGAAGTTGCTGAAAACTCTTCGATAGCCCACGACCGGTTTTACATTTATTGGGGCTCATCAGGTAGGCGCAGTCCCCTGCTTGAACCAAACTTGCACAGAATTAGCGAACTGCCCTCATCTGCATACAAATTTTTTTGTTCTTCCAACATCATCTGTTTTTCTTGGTCATGCCAGGTGCTCTTTTACATAAACCTAAGGAAGCTTCCTGACCGGTTTTAAGGTCCCGGAGACCTGCCTATCACTCTCCTTCTAGGCGTATTGAATAAGTATAATCATGTTCTGAGTGTACTGTTTGGGTCATAGGTTCAAATCCTAAGCGGAATTAAAATAACCGTTCAAAGCCTGTATCCAAAGACAAAATTTTGTAATGCATTGAAACAAACGATCATTTTAGCTTTTGGATAAGCCGGTCTTGAGGCATGTTTCCGTTTAAGGTCTGAGGTACCAAATGATTCACTTTAATGTCTAACAGGTGTCCCTAAGGCTAATGAAACTGTTCGGCTGACTCCATTGCACAAGATGTATGTCGAGCAGAAACCACTTTTGGACGCATTTTTCTGAATTTCCCCGACACCCTCATACTTGAGACACGGGAATTTGGTGTGCTGGTTCGTATAGAACGCAATCCGAGTTTGAACGTGAATTTATTCAAATCAGTATATCCTTCACAAGGTCCCTAGGAGGTGCGAAATGCTATTGAAAACACTTCGAACAGATGACTGAGGCGGCCAAACTGTGGTCGGATAAAGCGGTTGTTTGATACGGTTATGCGAATCACAATCTTTACCCGCGCTGCACTCGAGCTTTGTTGTTTGAACTTACATGATGTAATAACAATTGCTGTTCAAAATATCACCATCTAAACAGATGAGCTCACTTATACGTGGTCAGTTGTCGGCTTCTATTTCTGTCGCATTTCTTGTGCAGTGAGTCAGAACGCCTGCCAATTCCGCAAAACTGAACGTACATAAGTTTTGAAGGGGCACAAAGAAGTTTTGTATTCCAGCTACAGCTGGTGCTTTCTATAGAATCTCATTAGTACCATCCACTTGGGATTCATACTTAGGGACTCAGCCCTCCTCAGGTCACCTTATAAAAGGGACTTTGATCAATCGCCTAGGTAGCTTCTCTAAAGGGATTCGCTGGCATCCAGTACGGATTTACTTCTCAAAAATAGCTGGACCATTGGACAGCAAATCATAGTTCTGGTAACACATCTGATTTGAGCAAGGCAGAATTTGTTATTGAAGGACGGTCTGTGAAGGACAGCAGGAAAACTCACAGAAGCCTTCTAGCTGCCATATTCCGGCCTGAGCATTATAGCACTAGAACAAGCGGTAGCACCGTTACAAACTATGAGATACTAGTGTCGTTCCTTAAAAGTTCAGTACAGTAACACACTTCCCGTGCACAATATCATAGTCACACCTATCGAAATCTGTCCAGGATAAACAATTTCGACTGTCTTGGATGAACGGCCTATACAGGTGCAGTAGAGGTATAATTTCGTCTTGAGAATCAGAGCAAACTGACCTCAACATTTTCGTTGACGCTGAGCGAGTAGTGAAGCATGAGAGCACTGCTGGTCCGCAAGACTGATTTGGCTGATAAGATTCGTTCACAGTTTGAACAGCCCTGTAAACCTACTGGTCAGGAGTCGATTTCGGGTGTGCCGTTTATCTGAGATTACTGAGACGTGTTTGGTCCTGAAATGCGTCACTTCCTCTGGGTTTATGTCTTCCGTCTCAGATTTCTCCAAAAGCAGTTAGCGCCAAATCAATTTGAAAGTGAGTTATAGTCCGAACTTACACAAGGTTCGATACTGAAGTGCAAAATAAGCCTGATGAAAATTTGGAGCCAATGAGAAGTCGTTTGGAGTTTTTACGGTCCTTATAAGAACTTTTCCTCAACTAACCCAAAACCTGTCCTTATATCGTAGTTTCGGTTTTCATCAGCGTCTTAAACTATTCTTCAGCTAAATTATTTGGAACCCAATGCCGTGCAATCCACTTGGCTCAACCAACGACCTGGTTGTGGGTAGGATGATTTCGACTCCAAATACTATGCCATTTCTGCGTTTCAGGAGTTCGATACTCGACAGGAACAGGCTGGTAGAAAGCAAGCGTTTCTAGAAATATTCGTCTTCAAGCCAAAAATGAAGAGGTTGCGGATAGATTCTGCATTCCAGCTTTAGAATGCGCCAATAAAGCACAGTCGTCAGCACAGGGACCTTCAAGTTATGTAACTTACATATGGCTGGGAAGTGATTTAAGTGAACAGCTGACCGTCTAGATGATAGTAAACAGTTCCACCATTTACATAATTTTAAAAAGCATACGCACACATTGCAGCCAGATACGTATCGAATAACTTTGGGTGTCTAAAATCACACTTGTTCCCGCCGGTGTCGGCGTTGAATCCTGCAGATGTGGTTCTACCGGCTCAACCATTGGCCTTCAGCAAACAGTCAGAAGAATGGAAAAGATCAGTAACCAGTCCTCTAAAGAGCAATCCACAGTGCATCTGTGTTCATGAGATCAAAAGCCCTCGAACTTAGTACTTGCATTTATCCGCGACATTTCCACTGTATCTGTTTCACTGAAAATATCGAATGCAAGTTTTAGTGCCTACTCCGAAATCCACACTTTTTCTCTGAAACCACTGCATCCAGAGTGTCCACATTCAGTCGATCCAACAAATTGCGAGTCAAGATTTTGTCGGCAATGCAGAGGCGGATGGTTCAATGGTGCTATGCCTTCTATCGGATATTTTGCT